GATTTGATGGTAGGTGGAATACTTAGTTAACAGCAGTGCTGTCACAGCAGTGTGTCCCTCTTGACCTACTTGTAATTTGTTGATGGATTCAACGTATTTTTGCCCGAACGCATCCAAACCATATTAATCGGTTTGTCACCGCTGACAGAGCATTGCAAAAGCGCTGTGTCACCTTTTTTCACCGTTACCGAGCGCGAAGTGGATGAGAAGTACGGCGAAGCTGTATCATTAAAAATGCAAAGGAGAAACACATGAAAGTATAAATAATGTCGAATACGTAAAGAGTGTGGTTGGAAAATGCTAAAAGTTTAACACAGCAGAGTTGTTGGTATTGAGATGAAATATAATGCTTCAAATAAGCATGTATACACAAACACACAAGAGAATCTATATATATATATATAGCTATGGCGCATTTAATTAATGCCTATAGGTGCTTTGTGAATTTGCGAAAATTTACCTACATTGATAGCTTACGAAATGGATAGGCATAATAAAGCTCTATTCTGTGCTTACGCAACTTTGCACTTACAATTTACTTTTAGCTGTATAACTTTTCCGATGCCAGTTCCAATGCCATTGTTCGCTTGACAAAGGTAGAAGCCTTCACGATCCTCTTTAACGTGTTGCAGTAGCAGCGAACCGTTGTTCAATAATTTGGTGAAAGGCCGCTCTCGCACCTCGTCGTATTCACCAGACTTACTGCCTGTAAACAAAAAGTACAATTTATTTATTTTTTACTCGTACCGCTTAACTTATAAAAAACTAAGTCAGATTATTTCAAAGAAGTATTATAACCGCTAAGAAATACTTAAGGTATAATGTCTTTAGTCTTTTGAAAGTAGCTAGTACTTTCCTCCTCCATTTTAAGGAATACGATTTGAGGGACGTACTTAATGGGAAGGTGGCCATGCCCGGCTGATTAAAGTCTCCGTGAGAAAAAAGGCAGCCATCACCGCCAATCAAGAGATGGGATAAATAGAGCACGGTAAGCAGGCCAAACGACCTTGCTGAGACTACTACACCTGCCATGTAAAGTTTGGTGTCGGATTTGTGGTTGGAGAGAGACTGCGTCGCCAAGTATTCTCATTTACTCCGGTTAGCGAGTGTCGCGCCAAAACTGGCATCCGGATTCCTCGATATCTCGGCCATTTGCGTGCAAGCCACCAAAGAAGCGGAACAAGACCAAAAATTGCTAGGAACTTGTTTTGGACAGACTGTTGGAAGATAAAGCCCACAAGCCAAAAACTCCTCTTTCGCTACGATCCGAAATATATTAGTTTGTAAAAAGTTACCAGCATGAAAGGATTCATCGACCTACAAAGCTGCCTACAGATCAGAGACGAGAAAATAAATTGAACAAACTATTATAGGCAAAAGTAGTGGGGAAGATTTTTCACATCTTGCTTATACAGAATCCTAAAACAAAAGTTTTATATGGTTTCAATTACTATTGGGATTTTTAGTTGAGTGCCTAGAGGAAAAGAATTATTCTGACTTATGTGGGGATACTCCCTCATTATCCTCTGCATTAACATCAATTTGCTTATTAGAAAAGCTGAATCCTAAAATTACGTTCTGTGTGTATACTCAGATGATCAACCCCTAATAGTGAAACGAGCACTTGTATGGTGGAGGAAGACCACTCAAACAGTAGCCATTAAAAACTGTGCAAGGTCCAACGACTTGCATGCCTAGATGTAAGAGGGGTAATGAAAACAACCCATCGCAGATATGGAAGCCCTACGCAATCTCATACACCTTCATATGGCAATATAAGAGGAAGCAACCATACATACAAACAAGGAAACCTTGTCAGACATCTTGAAATCTTAAAGACAAATGAGATCACTATGACCAAAATCCTGTTCTCATAACCCGCCAAAACAAAGATTTCAGTCGGCCAATCTGTCTTCAAAGCCCTAACGTAGCGACAGGATGGTGGCCAGCATAGGACACGCAAATCAACTTCAAGAAATTAAGAAGCAAACAAGGCGTGTCCTACTGAATTGCCTAATGTTATTCCACAAGCGCGAAATTCCAGTGAACTCTGCAATCTGATTCAAAGAGTAAGGCTTTTAGTGTCCGAGGCAATACAGGCATAGTGGAGTTATCGAAAGCTTTCAGAATTGGGCGGAAAAATCAGATTATATGTACATCTCCTTCACCAGATTCCAGAAAAAACTTTCAGGTGAAGTTTCCTTTTAGGCGGGACTGAAGTATAAGCAGATCAAACAAACAGAATGCGGTTCTCATCTATGCGGAGAGGTATAAAATGGACTGCGGTGTGGGTGTGGGAGAATTCTCTGAAATGTCTCGTTACGACTGTGTACCTTTGCTAGCACTTTCCAAGCGGAAGTGTGGGGAATTTAAGAGGATGGCAAGGTCTTCAACAAAAAAAACCGTGAAGGAGTAAAAAATGCATACATTTTATCAGACAATTTCCTTTTTCATATATATTGAAGTTTTTCCCATCCACCTTGGTTAAAACCACCTGCCACAAGCCGCCACTGTAGTTTGGACATCGGTTTTTATACGCGATTCTTAATTCTTTATGTTTAAAAGATTTAAATTATGTAAAAAAAAAATATTTCTGTCAAGATTTTGATGTTTTAAAGACTGGATGTTTTTAGAAATTAAATGATGTCAGAANTAAATATAGATACGAGCTTGGGTACTTCAGATGACTGCGAGTCTGACGGTGTATAAAATTGTTTTCTTAAAAATATATTCCTGTACGAACAAATATGTATGTCCTGTTTATTGATTCATTCAAAATCCGGTAGTTCCCGTGTAAATTTGAACATCGAGATTTTTAGTAACAAACGTTAAGACCTCGTTAGTGTTTGTCCGAGTTTCTCTTCCGATTTGTGGCATGCGCCTTGATGTTGGCACACAAAGGGGAGGGACCAACAGTTTTACGCCGAATCCGAACGGGGATTT